CCCCCCCCCCCCCCCCCGTGCACGAATTCTTGTGCACTGGGCCTCTAGTTTAGAGATAAGAAAGGCATTAGGGTAGGGTCCATGGGAAAGGATTGCTTACGTGACAGATGGAGCCAGCTCCAAACTGCTAGAATGTTTATCATACAAGGACAGAAAGCAGCAGAACGTTACAAGAGAAGGAAGGGAGTGCCAGATCGGCTTTGAAACTTTGAAATTGGTAGTAGGCAGGAAAAGGGGGGAAATTGGCCAATTAAGAAAAAACATGGGGGCATAAAATGAGGAAGGGTCCCATTAGAAAGTAGCATGTACAGACAAAGAAGCTGCCAGCATTTACAAACCCTTAGACAGAAAGACGCACTGGGTTTCCCCATTGTGGGGACCCTGCAATAAATGTCCACGCTTTTGCTTAAAATCCTTGGTCCACAGATTTTATTCTTCAAACTTTGTAGGACAAGAACCTGGGGTATCAAAATCAGACACAAGGTGGAGGCCTGCTAGCTGCCTCCGTTTGTCTGTTTCTGTGAATGTGAAGACCAGGAAGATGGGATGTGGAAGAGACAGACCCAACCTCTTCTGCCTTCTGACCTGGAACCTGGACACAGGTAGAAATGGCTGGCTCAGCCTCACCCTTGCCCAGGTGTCCCTTGCCTGGGGTAACCATGATTCCCCGGCACACACACACGGAGCGGGTTACAAAGAGAAGCAGCATCTGTCGCCAGCCACAGAGACGTAAGCACATGAGCATGTTGGTTTGATTTCCCAGATCCTACGACAGAAACCCAAAACCACTTTGCTCCTCTCCACTCCCCACGCCTCCCCTGAATTCTCCAGTCCCAGGTACACTCTTCAAAACCACCCCAGAGAAGTTGATTGGAAGTATCTTGATTAGCATTGGAATGAAAATTAAGCCACTCAGGCAAAGGGTACATGAGACCTCTGTATTATTTCTTACAACGGCACATAAAACTACAATGATCTTACAAAGAAAGTGTAATTGAAAAAAATCAGGCTACTCAGAATGTACTATGACTGGAAGAAAGAAATAACCTCCACTCCTCCACACAAAAGCCCCACCCTGAAAATCAACTTTCGGGTTTGACCAACTTCCCCAGTCAAGCTCTACCTATATATAGATACCCTTTGGTGCCTAGTGGAAGGTCAAGAAACAGAAAATGACACCCATTTCTGCCTTCTCCTTCCCCGTACCAAAGTGACAAGTTCCTTAAAGGCAACTGTATAAATAAAAACTGCTGAGAACTGTTTGCTCCAGAGCGGGGAGCAGGGCTGCACCCCAGACAGAGAGGAAGATACACCCTTCACCACAGACCCTATTGGACTTTGGGATTTTGTATTGTGTGTACATATTACCTAGTCCAAAAATATCACTCCCCAGAGCTTACACATCCTTTGATGGTCCAGCACAAGCATCACCTTGTCTATGAGCATTTCCCAGTCAGAATTCATCCTCTCCTGTGTGTTCCACAGACCAATGGTTCTCAGTTGAAAAACCTGAGAGCTTGTTTTAAAAATGCCCATGCTCAGGCCCTGGCCGGTGTTCTCAGTGGTTAGAGTGTCAGCCTTCACACCGAAGAGTCCCAGGTCTGATTCCCAGTCAAGGTCACCCCATCTATACGTCTCTCTCACATGGATGATTCTCTCTCTCTCCCTGTCCCTCCCTCCCTTCCATTCTCTCTCTCTCTGAAAAGTAATGGAAAAAATATCCTCGGATGAGGATTAACAACAACAACAACAACAAAAAACCAAGCTCAGCGTCTCCCCCCTCCCCAAACCAACGGATTGAGAATCTCAGAGGGAAGGGGGTCAAGGTGGGGTTTTTTAAAAAACTCCTCAGATAATGTTCAATTGTACTCAGGATCCAGAACTTCTGCCCTGACACTTTACGGAGTCAAGATTCAAGCCCTCACTCTAAAAGCAAACACTGAATAATTGATTAACAAAAATTTTCTAAAAATACTTTCACTTCCTTTATCTCATTTTGTCTTCAGAACAATTCTGTGAGCTGGGCAGCGATGCCCAGAAGTGGAAAGGGAGTAGAAGTGTTAGCTTGAGCTTTTCAGTTCTGTATTTCGTTGTGTCTGACCATCTCCCCTGAGAAGAAAAGCAGATTTCACACCTCCCATCCATATCTCAGCACCACCCTTTACACACACAGGTGGTGTTCAACTGCAATTCATCAGCAAAGTGAAAAATGAGTAGTCCAGCAGGGAGTGTCCCAGTCCTCCAGAGCTCCTGGCGGCCCACCTTCCTGAAAGCGTCTTCAGATCATGAGGAATTTATCTCCCTGTAGCTCTACCTGCCAATTTATTTCTACCAAAATCATCGCAGTTGCATGTTCACAATGCAGATTCCTGGGCCCTGGATTTACAGAACCAGGATTTCTGGAAATGACATTCAGGGATACCTATTTTTGTATTTTTGAATGTATATGTGGTAATAAAATATACATAATATGAAGGTCATCATCTTAACCATTTTTTAAAAATATATTTTTATTGATTTCAGAGAGGAAGAAAGAGAAACATCAAGTATGAGAGAGAATCATTGATTGGCTGCCTCCTGCATGCCCCATTCTGGGGAGTGAGCCCGCAACCTGGGCATGTGCCCTGACCGGGAATCAAACTGTGACATCCTGGTTCATAGGTAGATGCTCAACCACTGAGCCATGCTGGCTGGGCATCTTAACCATTTTTAAGTGCACAGTTGAGTGTCATTAAGTACATACACATTGTTCTGCACCCATTGTTAACATCCATCTTCAGAACTTTTTCATCTTCTCAAACTAAAACTCTGTACCCATTAAGCAATAACTCCCCATTACCCTCTCCCCAAGTCCCTGACAACCTGCATTTTACTTTCTTGTCTCTGGATTTGACCACATTAGATACCTTACATATATGGAATTATGCAGTGTTTGTCATTTTGTAACTGGCTTATGTCACTTAGCATGTCTTCAAGGTTCATCCACACTGTACCATATAGCAGGATTTCCTTTTTAAGGCTGAATAATATTTCATTTTATGTATATGCCACATTTTGCTTAAGCCAGTGGTTCTCAACCTTCCTAATGCCACGACCCTTTAATACAGTTCCTCATGTTGTAGTGACCCCCAACCATAAAATCATTTTCATTGCTACTTCATAACTGTAATTTTGCTACTGTTATGAATCGTCATGTAAATATCTGATATGCAAGATATATTTTCATTGTTACAGATTGAACATAATTAAAGCATAGTGATTAATTACAAAAACAATATGTAGTTATATATGTGTTTTCCGATGGTCTTAGGCGACCACTGTGAAAGCGTCCTTTGACCCCTAAAGGGGTCTCGACCCACAAGTTGAGAACCGCTGGCTTATGCATTCATCCATTGAAGAACATCTAGGTTGCTTCCACTTTCTGACTATTGTCAATAATCCTATCTAATAATAGACAAACATGGTAATTAACTGTACCTCCGACACGCTTCCCATTGACTAATCAGGGCGATATGCAAATTAACTGCCAACCAAGATGGAGGCCGGCAGCCAGGCAGCTGAAGCAAACAGGAGCCTTGCTTGCTCCAGTGTTGGAGGAAGCCAAGATTCCCCACCTGCCGCTGCCGGCCTCTGAGCTGCACTCTAAGAAACAATGTGGCAATTATAGAAGCTAAACAAACCCAGAAACCTGCTTTCAGCCAGCCTGGCCTCAGAGCTGGTACTGCAACAGTGTTTCAATTATAGAAGCCAAACAAACCCAGATACCTGCTTTCAGCAGCCGAGGTCCCAGAGCTGGAGCCAAGCCTCAGAGCTAAAGTTGGCTCTCAGTTCCAGTGACAGCCATAGAAGGTAAATAAATCCCAGAATAAAAAAAAAAAGAAAAAGAAAAAAAGGAGAGTTTGGGAGCTTCAGTCACCCGCCAGCCTGAAAATGGCCCTCAGCCCCTCACCCAGACTGGCCAGACACCCCAGTGGAGACCCCCTGATCAATGTTTCTCTTTCATCATTGATGTTTCTATCTCTCTCTCCCTCTCCCTTCCTCTCTGAAATCAATAAAGACATTTTTTAAAAAAAGGACAGAGATCGGGGAAGCCTGATGTGTAGATTGGGTTGTGGCTGATGGGCATGTGGGCAGCAGCTAGGAATAGGAGAGACAGTAAAGTGAGGCCTAATAAAGTGAGTACCGAGGTAGATTCCAGCAAAGCCAGAGGTTGAGGGAAAAGGGATGCTGGTGAGAGGTTGCTGAGAGACCTGTGGAACATGGGCTGGGTCAGGAAGTGAAGTAAGAGTAGGTAGGTGTGGTGGCTTTTATAATCTCTTCCACTCAAATAGAGCTTTACCATTTTACAAAAGTTGTTTTCATTGACTCTTCAAGAGGGCGTGAGTATTAGAAGTCAAAGGTCTCACTTAAAAATGGGAAAACCAAAGACTCACCTAGGTCAGGCAAGTTCCTTTACTTAACCCAAGTTAATGGTCCTTCTGAGACTCAAATAAGGCCTTTTTACTGACCTTCACTCCTTTACCTTCTGAAAATGTGTTCTATGATAAAAGACATTAATGATAATAGTAAGAAGAAGCAACAGCAACTAACATTTATCGAGGACTCACCTTGTGTCAGACCTTGTTCTAAGTGCTTTGTATATTTAACCCACTTATTTCTTTCCTCCTCCTCCTCCTCCTCCTCCTCCTCCTCCTCCTCCTTCTTCTGTTTGTTTTGTTTTTTTAATCCTCACCCGAGGATATTTTCCCATTGATATTTTAGAGAGAGTAGAAGAAAGAGAAAAAGACAGAGAGAAACATCAATGCGAGAGAAACACATCAATTGGTTGCCTCCTGCATGCACCCTGATAGGGCCTGGAAGGGGAGGAGCCTGTAACCAAGGTACATGCCCTTGACCAGAATGGAACCCGGGACCCTTTGGTTCTCAGGCCGACACTCTATCCACTGAGCCAAACCAGCTAGGACTAACTCACTTATTTCTCACAGTATTCTTTTGAGGCAGGTATTGTTATGATCCCTACTTAACAAGCACAGAGAAATCGAGCAACTAGCTCAAGATAAGAACGAGAATCCAGATCTAGTCATTTCAGTTCAAGAACCCAAGTACCTGATAGAGACGTGCTCCTTCACCAAACTTCATCAGGGTCTTCTGAGTCCTCTTCCCAACTCGGCCTTAGCCTTGGTTCCTCTCATCCTTGCTGAGTCCAATTGTAATAAGAATCTTGATAGGTCAATTTAGAGAGAGAATCCCCTACCCTTTGTTTTTATTTCTTTTTTTTAAATTAAATCTTTATTGTTCAGATTATTACAGTTGTTCCTCTTTTTTCCCCCAATTGCTCCCTTCCACCCGGTTCCCACCCCACCCTCCGCCCTCACCCCACCCCCACTGTCCTCATCCATAGGTGCACGATTATTGTCCAGTCTCTTCCCGCATCCCCCACACCCCTTCCCACCCCCAAGAATAGTCAGTCCATTCCCTTTCTATGCCCCTGATTCTATTACAATCACCAGTTTATTCTGTTCATCAGATTATTTATTCACTTGATTTTTAGATTCACTTTTTGATAGATGTGTATTTGTTGTTCATAATTTGTATCTTTACC